GAAACTATTCCATTTCTTCTCAAGTGAAGGAGGTTTTCTGAAGAGCTTATGACCTAAGAGGTCTTCTCACAAGAGTCCCTCAAGTTCAGTATAATTTCTTGTTCCTTTCAACAGGAGACAGGCCACCGTACCACCTTTTTAAACCAAACAAATATTTGGTGTCCCTTTCTCTTTCCCCTCCACAGACAGTAGATGGTCAAATACAGAGCATTTTTTCTATGCTAGTCTGAGAAGCCATTTAACCTCATTCTGCTCCCACTCTTAACTGATCAAAATGGAACTGTTTGCTTATTAACATGAACTAGTCTCTTTTCCCATTTAAGTGTATGCACTGGAACAATATTCCTTGGTCTGGCTTGTTCCCTCACTAAAGTGAAATGCAAAACAATGGCAATAAAAATCGAATGCACTCTTCAATGCTTAACTGGTTTTTTTTAGGAATATATTTTAACCATTTATCCCTTTCTAGGCATTCTAACTAATTCAAATAGATGTCAAATAAAACCTTTAATGCACTTCCAACACTCTCTCCTCTCTTCAATTGCCCTGCTACATTGTAACACAGTAAATGGTATTAAAAACAGTTTCAAGACTTCATCTATCACAGAAACCCTCTCTATAAAATAAAACCAAATGGCAAAACAATTTGGGTAAGACCCAGTTTAGGCAGTCTGATGTGTGGACTCCTAACACTGCCACCACAGCACAAAAGCATGTGTGCTGCTCTCTCACCCACAGTGGTGAGCCTTGGGCAACAGGATCAACACAGAAATAGGTCGCAAGATTCAAAACAGCTGTAGTTTGGAACAGTTCTGTGCCTTCTCCTTCATCCATTTATTTACTTTTCCTGCTGCTCATCAGCCCTTGTCCAGTTTCTTCATGTCTTCAAGGTGGCAACTCCCCATTTTCTCTTCCAGAAAGCTCTGATCCTCAATCATAGAAGTGCCAGACACAAAACTGGAAAAAACAGTCTCCACGATACTCCATACTGTAGTAGAGGCTTCTCCTACCTCTAGTGAGCACTGGTGATGCTTGGATGGCAGAAGTTCAGATTAGTAGTTGCTGTTTACTAGTTGTTGAATACTACTTGGTCAGTGTTAAATATTTGGACTTCCCCTCTCAACTGAGCTTTAGTTTGCTGAGTCATTTTAAAGTGATTTTGCACTATTTGGCCAATCAATTTTAACAGAGAATTGCAAGAAAATTAACTCAGCATTTTGGAATTAATACTGTTTGCCATGGTTAAAATTCATTTAAACAGCTTAATATAACTCTATTTATACTTGTTTATATAAGAAAAAAGATCTTACAATGAGCAAGCATAAACAGAATACCTCTGGGGTAAAATTTACATCATACTTCTTCCAACTCATTGGCTTGTCAAGTTCTAATGATATCTTAAGGCAATTCGATTTTGCTGTGTACAGGAGATAAATTGATAAATATTCAGTAGAGCCAAATAAAATGCAAGGTGTGGCAATGTTGTATGAAAACCAGTGTTTTCTTTGAATAACTATGGACTCCTGAGGAGGAGGTGACATTCTACCTTTTATCACAACCCAGCAGGCTGGTGCCTTGCTGCTCGCAGAGACAGCATTGAAGAGCTTTGCTTGCTACAGCTTCCCACTTACTAGGAAGCCAGGTTTCCTTTGACACTGGTGTACCTTTACTGCAGGATTTGACAGGGACCATTCAGAGTGTTGATTACTGTAATTAGAGCCAAAATCCCCAAAAGTCTTCATGACAATCAAGGAGAGGGGCCCCGTCTTGTGGACATTTCCTGGAGTGAGTATGGTCTGGCTGTGAAGCTGTTGACCACAGTGCCGTTTATGCAGTGCTGAAAGAGTAGCTGTGATAGCCAGCTGCACCAGCATCTCATCTAAACTAATTATGTCTGGGCTGAGAAGTCAGGGGTTATGTTAAAAATCTGCCTCATTTCCCTCTCTCAAGGCAAACCATCCTCCCATTTCTGCAGGTGTGAAGAATCCTGCCTCAATGCAGGTTTTAGAAACCTGAAGGGAAGTTTTACGTACTTTCTGCAAACCCCTTGCCCACACACTGAAGAGAGGGAATGAGTGTGTTGGGGGGGTCATCCGAGATGAGGTCAGGGTCAACCAACCAAGCTCAGGAACAATTTATCAGGGGCTCCAGAAGCAATGGCACACATGGCCACATGCTGTGAGCAGCAGGAGAGCCTGGATGCCCAGAAAGGCTGCAGACACCCTGTGCCAGCCCTAATGACCAAGGGATGAGTACATTTGGAGAAAAGTACAGGCAGGCTTTCACATCTCTTCTATAAAAGTTGTTTACACAACCTGCAGCTGCATCCCACGCATACTATCCCACACCTACAACCTGGCTCCTTACCTTCACCTAAGGAGGCTCCCAACTGAACACTTTTTTAAGAACTTGTATAGTGTTTGGGAAAACAGACAGGAAAAAGCTGTTGTACATGCAGTGTGTGTTTCTAGTCCACTTCAAACAGGTTTTAACACCAATTACACAACTGGCATTTTTCACTGCAGGACAAGCTACAGTAGACACTTGCTTTCAAAGCTCCCTTGAATTCCTATTTTCATGATTCTTTGCTTGCCCCTTGTCTCATGTATGACATCATGTATGATGTTGCTTTCACAAGCCCACGATACTTGGATAATTTTTCTGAGGCAGAGGAGTGGTGCCAAGGGCCTGAAGCTCTCCTTGGCCTATGTGGGAATGTTGTGGGATTGGGACCTGGGATGTCTGGCTGCACAAGACACAGCTAATGACCTGGTACAGCCATTTGGGGACATGGGCTAACAGCGACTTGTACAGAAAACACCTGGTCAGATCGGCATGGGGATTTTGGAGATTAGAGGATGTTTGAGGTCGAAGGCATGCCTGGAAGTCACCTTGTCCAATCTCCCATCATGGGTCAGGACAAGATCGCACCACTCAAAGCTTCACTCACCCTAAAGGGTTTTTAAACTCCCCAAAGAAGGAGATTCCGCCACTTCTATTGGCAGGTTACTCCAGAGCATAGTAGTGAAACATCTTCCCCTCCTCAGAGCTCCGCGTTTCCCCCAACTCCTGCTGCTTCCTCGCCTTTCCCTATGCCCTTCTGACACGACCGCCTTCACCACCACCATTGAGGGCAAAGGTAGGGGCAGCCCCCCAGCCCAGCCTCGCCCCACTCCCCCTTCCCAGCGTCTTTCTCGTGAAGCCGGGCCCGCGGCTGCCGGGATCAAGGGTGGGAAGAGCTCTCTGCAGCAGTCGGTACCCGCCCGCAGATGACTCTCTCCTGCTGGACACAAAGCGGCCCTGCGCTCCCGGTACACACGGGAGCTGGGGGTGCGGCCCCGGCCTCCTGAGGGACAGGCGAGGGCTGCAGGTGAGAATGGTGGTGGTCGTAGGTCAGTAGCACTTCGGCATTTCTCCCCCAGCGCTGCCTGAAACCTGGTCTAGAGTTGCAAAGCATATCCAGGGAAGTATTAAAAAAAAGTACCTAAACCAAAACCAAAACACATACTTTTCATTTATTCTTCTTGGTGTCAGAGGAAACTCATTTCAGCAGGTCACTGCGTGGAGCAGGACGCTGAGCTGCAGAACATGGGGCTGCTGCTGACAGCTTTGCAGATGCACATCACCCCAGCAAGAAGGCCAGGCACCAAGATACCCGTGTGCTCCCAAACGGCATCTCCCTTGGCTCTGACACAACACTTGTGTTTTCCATTTCAAGTTTCACTCTCTCTGGCTATGGAACATCCTTTGTCACCATGTCCATAGCCATGCCTCCATCAACACGGCTGCCCAGAAGGTGAAAACAGACACACTGACTGGGCATACAGACACTGCCTGGCACAGCTGAGAGCTGAGCAACAAGCAGTGTGTACAGTGCTTCATGGCTTCTCTCCTCACAGCAGTACTGTTTAACATACTCAGTCTGCTGAGGTATGTAGACAACCACCATGTCATGACCATATAGTTACACTGATAGGATAGCAGCATGTGAAACTGCCAGACATGCCCAATACCAAAGGGAAAATAATGTAGATGGCTAGCTTTAATTTATGGCAACATGAACAAGGCAACAGGGTGAGAAGCTGTTGTAGACAATAAAAGGGACATAAGTTCCTTAGAGAATCTCTGAGTAAACACTAGTTGCCAAGTAATTACTAAGGCAATTTAAAAAAAAAAAAAAGTACAGCAGGTCAACAAAACTGAAGCCAGTGGGGTAAGAGTTAATGGGGATGCTTATTTTTGTTTATGCATTATGTAGTTGGAAGGATGTAAGGGTGATAAAGAACAAGGGATATAATATGAAGCAAACAATATAACCAGGACTGAGCGGGGATACCTGTTTGTCAGCCCTGTGCCTGATAACCACAGTTTGAACCAGGACAACAAATCCACTGTTTCCACAGTGTTGATAGAATAGAACACAGAATAGAACATGCTTTCAACATGAGTTGAAAGGGATCCATCAGGATTAGGTACTAGTTGTATTTTTCCTTGATGTTCATGAAGAAATACTAGAAGCACCCTTCTTAATATTGCCAAGATAGTACTTGGAGAGTGCCACCTAACAACATCATTCCTTCCTAACTCTTTAATATAGCCAAGTGTTTGTTTCACACGTGGGAAATTCTGCCCAAGATAGCAGTATATCTGAGACAAACGCTTTGCAGATAATAAAAGAAAATGTCTGTATGCAAAACCAGGGTGCTTGCATGTTAACACCTATGACCACCAATCATCATACCAAAACAAAGCCTGAAATTACTCAAGTAAGTTGAAATTACTCAAGTCATATTCACTATCAAAGACAAGTGGATAAACAGTATCATTACTATCATGGTCATAATGCAAAATAATTAAGCAAATAGGAAGCAAGGTAAATTGAAACAATTTTTAATACCTAATCATTCTTTAGTCCAACTTGGTTTCACAATCTTCTGTAAATATTGTAAAAAATAATTTAAAATTATAAATTAAAATGTACCTATTTTAGTTTGTGACAACTTTCAACATATTTTTTCCTTGACTGTTTTCTTCTCTCAATTAAATCACTCACTGATCTTGAAGCCTATCAATCCCTTCTGCTATTGTCAAACAAACATTTTGATCCAATCAATCATATCCTTTCTAGCTTCTTCAATATAAGGTTTATCATCAGGTTTCATATCTTCTGGCTTCAGTTGTGCAAAACCATGAACTTGTCCAGGATAAACTTTAATTTTATATGAAACTTTACAATACTGTTTCAACTTCTCCTCCAATAAGAAGACCTGTAAAAGAAAGTGGTTTTCCATTACATTGTGGGGGGTTTTTTTAAGTTTGCCAAACTTGTTGTTTTTCATAGAAAAAAACCCTCTTTGGGATGTAAGACTGAAACGTTTTTTTGAAAGGATTGGTGAGTCTAAGAACCTCAACAGTTACAGCAAAGATGGTTTGGTAAATCTCATTGTCATAAAGGAACTGGTGCATTTCTATTCAGATTCTTAGGCTTCTCATCTATACTTTAAGCTCTGATCTTGAGAGAACATATTCCATAAACCTCAGTGACCATCAGACCAAAACATTTTGATAGGCTTAGTAACAGAGTTTAAGAAAACACAGAGGGTTTTTTTTTTAGTTTACTTTACAAAAAGACACTGTTCCTGCACAATCTTTTGGTGATAAGTACATGAAAAGTACTAATCACATGTTTATGTACACATATACATCTGCAGACACATTCTTGTGCTTATTTCCACTAAAAAGTTAGAAAACAGGAGAATGAACATTATTTTGCCTCAAAAACTTAATTCTACCCATTGTGCAGATTAGAGAGATTTCTGTAATTTATTTCATGTTCTTTCCTTTTTTTTTTTATCCTTGTCACTGAAGAAAAAGAATTTACTCACAGAAGAGGGCACCAGTTTCCTACACATATATTTATCCAGCCTCTCAGATATGCTTACGGTAGGGCTTATATCAGAACATAGATGGCAGCCAAGAGTCAAAAGAGAGTCCACAAATTGTTATCATCTCAGTTAAAATCCACACCCAGTCTTCCCATACAGTTCATTTTTTTCTTCTTATGCCAAAAGCAATTAGTCATTGGCCCCCATCATCAGAAAGTTCAGTTACCAAGCTGAAATTACTTTTTTTTTTCTCCGAGTGGCTTAACTACCTGATTTCTCACCCACAGCAGTAGTATCTCAAGGTTTTGAGATGCTTGGTTAATACCAGTTGGATCTCCCTGTCCAGTTTCACACTTTGCTTATCTAGCCATTTAGAGACTGATGAGTGGTCTTTACTGCATTTCTCACCTCAAAAAAGAAGCTTTGAATAACCTAAGCAAGATATATGGGAAGCTGAAATATAAACAAAACAATCTAGACTGTCTAATTTTTTGTATCTGGAAATGGTTTCCAACAAGGATTTTTGTGGGGGATAAATGAACTATCAGAAAAGTAGTATTTCCAGTACAAAAGCTTACCTGATCCAAAGAGATGGTGTGGTCTTTCTCACCAAAAATGAAAAATGTCGGATTTAGTAAATTGTATCTTTCTTCAGAGTCTCTAATTATTCCTATAATATTTTGAGGAACGGTCTGTTAGTGAGGTTGTCTTGCAAGATAAATGGCAAATTTAAGTTTACTCATTAGGTACATTACTTAGATCAATACAGTTTATATTTGGATGGAGAAAAAGCATTTGGAAAATATATTTTGTTGCTCTCAAAGCACTAAAATAAGATTAGGAAATTATTGTGCAAAAGAAAGCAATTTTTTTCTTGTCTACAGTATTAAAATTTTTATACAAATATATCATATTGGTGAAATAACCATAATTAAAATCTGCAACTCACCTTTGAGTTTTTACAGAAATTGCTACAAAGCAATAACTACAGTTACAAACTATGCATAGTCATGAGAACCCAAGTAAGTTTTCATGTGTTCTACACTACCATAGAGGGACACCCCAGCGGTTAATTGAGGATTTTTCAGCATCAAGTGATGTACTGCCATTCCACCCCAGGAAAACCCAACGATACCAATCTTCTTTGCACCGCATTGTTCCTTTAGATACTTCAAGACAACATCAGCTTCCCTAAGACATATAAACAAAAGTAAACTAAGGACTCTATTGCAGAAGCAATATTTGACAATTTAAGAAGAAAATTACAAGAGATACATGATTTTGTTTTCTGTGTCTGCACCCCCAAACATTTAATACAGGGATTACTTTAAAAACCACATTTCAGCCTAGAACAGTGTCTTCTATTGTTAAATGAGAGTTAAGATCTCTGGTCCTAGTTTAGGGAAGTACAGCTGTAGGTACTTAAATACTTACCTGAATTGTCACCTGCTCCTGTGTTTTCAAAATTAGCAAATTTTTAATTGAACCACTTTGTCTAGGAGAGGACAACTAAAGACAAGACATATCTGCAAGTAGAACAACATCTTGCATTATGGACTGTAGGAATAGATAAGCTTCACTGTACCATCTCTACAGAGTCCACCTATTTAGATAAAGATTTATCCTGACTATGTCATTCCTGTTGCATGAATTAATACTAAAATATCCTACCAAGCCCACATGCAAGAATGTTATACTGAAGTAGCAATTACTCAAAAGTACACTGTCAGTATCTATAATGTTTATAAAAACAAGTTTTACATGAAGTATAATGAAAAAAAATGAAAATTATTTTCAACGTAGACAAAAGCAAGTCTAATTTTTAAATTTCTGACTTCTTAGGCCTCAACAGTTTAATCTTCCTCAGTATCTACAGAGTTTGAAATAAAGTTTAGATGCAAACTGCATAAACTAATAACTATATTTTCAAACAGTAGGTATATCATCACAGGTTTGGTTAGGGTGACCAAAAAAAAACCATTATGAGAGTGACAAGAAGAGGAGATTGTGCCCTAGGCCTGTGGCCAGGCTTTCTCAGATTTGGCTTGTATGGAAGGGTACTAAGAAAGTCATGGGTGTCTTGGATTCCAAGTTCTCTGGCAGAGCAATGGATCCAAACCGCAGGGGACCCTCAAAAGTGAATACTCAAAAGACAGCACAGGCATGACCTCAGATCTCCATTTTTTACAGCAGTGCCCACATATCTGCTCACTCTTTGGAGTAGAGTTTCTTTATAGTTGTTAGTCATTTGCCTTTTCAAAAGCATCTGTAACAGCTTCTGCAACTATATGGTCAAAAACATCAGTGAGAGATGTTGAAGTTAGGCTGTCCCTGCTGAGATGTCTGGAATGGGTCAGAAAAATATTTGTGGCTTACAAGGTGGTAGGTGAGTAAAAGGATGTCACTGCCTCACTACCATCTTCTGAAGTTTTGAGCTGTGGGATAGATGCTGAAGAAAGCAATGCCTCCCTGTAACTGAGAGAAGCCTTGTTACAGGCACTGCTAGACTGTACAGACAGTGGTCCCTCTATTTCACACAGAGAAAAACAGTATAGTTGATCAGATGCATCTTGGGTTTTGGGCAACCTCGCAAAATTTTATGTAGCGCTGTTCAGGAGAATATCATCTGTACCTATCATAAATCTACAAGGCAGAAAGCAACATGGGCAAGTGACAGCCGGCAGATAACATCAGCAATTATAGAAGTGCTTTTCTCATTATCTTGAGGAACTGGGGGCAGAATCAGCACTTGTGGATGAGAGTGCTGGGTATTTCATAGCTCGTGAAACACTGGGAGGCTGTGTGGCCAGTATAACATAGTTAGAAAGGGCCCAGGAAAACAAGGTGGGGACAACAAGCAGAGTGATGTGCAGAGCAGATGATTCTTTTTAAATCCCAGCCAAGACTGTGCCTAGACTCACAGAAGGATCACCCAGAATTAGCAATTGTATTTGTGCAGCCAGCTTGCCCTGCTGTGAGGTGCCATTCTAACATTTCATACAAATTCCCCTTGTTTGCTGGATGCTTTTTATAGTTCAAGTACAAATATGTATCTTACTTGTCTACTTTCATAGGATCATGATCTTTCATCCAGTCAGCAAAGTCAGCCCAGTGATCAGTAGATTTCCAGGGTTCTGTTCCCTTGAAAAAGTCTGGGCAGATGGCTCTGTGTCAGACATAGAATGAAGTCAATTTTCATATCCAGTTGGGGAGAATCTGTGAATGTCTAAACGTCTCCTAATGTCTTTCACTACAGAGTGCACTTCTGCATGGCTACTATCTGAATTATGTTTTACTCATATTTTTCTGACAATCAGCAGAGCTAAAAGTATATGTCTTTGTGTGGAAAAAAACCACCAAACCACAAATAAATGCTCATTGTTTCCTTAGACACATTTAATGCAAAAGTAAAGGAACTAAGCCACCCTCCTCATTCTATATAAACATATATATACCTCTTTACTATTAAAAGATAAAGCAAATGTTCAAAAGGTTTGGTTCTGAAAAGTTTATACAACTGAAAATAGATACAAACGTTTATCTTTTGATCACCTACACTGCTACATAAGCACAAACACCGGCATTTCATGACTCCTTGTGGCTTTGTGCTAGGGTAGCCACTGCTAATGGGTCAGTTTTAGTAGGTTTGGTGGCTTTGTGGAAATGTTTTGTCCCTCTCCTTTTTTATTCACTCAGCCTGAAAAGGCATGGTTGCCCTATGCATATGCGAAACATCATATGCCATGCCTAGCTTTGGACCTGGTGATCTATTAATGCATTTAAGAGGAAGATAGGAAAGAAAGTTGCTTACATATATCCATGACCTGCAATCAAATCGACTATGTATCTAATATCTGGGAACCGCCATCCAAATACATCATGAACCACAATCACAGCTTTGTCCGTGAAAAAAGATGGTCTACAAACATATGCCTTAAGGTACTCAATTTGTACTTCATGTCCAAGGCACCCATAGTGAGATCTGTCTCCAGTATCATATAGAAAAGGATCAGCCATTTGAAAACCTGGAAAAAAAAAAAAAGACAGGAAGAAAGTAAAACTAATTTGTTAAAACAAATAATTAAGGGCAAATAAAGGCAAACACGATCTGCAGAAAGTAGTTCAGTAGCTTCTGTAAATAACATTGACATCCTTGTCTGAAAGGAGAAAGTAGAAAAAAGCAAAAGTAATGTTCCAGTGCAGAATGGCTCCTAGTCCATAATGTATTATTAAGCTAAGAATGAAGAGAAATACCAAAATCAAAGCTATAAAGTAACTTAAAAGTAAACCGTGCATGTAGGTCTTGATACTCATGCCACATTTGTTCTGCTCCCATGTGGCTCTGTCAGCACTGGTGGGATGCTGTACAGCTTCAGTTGTCACTCTCTCCCCAGGCATGGGGCTGTTGTGGGGACTCCATGTGTGTTTCTCTGAATTATTTGTAAGGACCACAGCACTCAACTGCTACATTAAAGTATAGTGCTCAGTGCTTCTCTCGGTGCTGGTGCCTGCTAGCTAACCTGTGCTTCTGTAGCAGCATCACAGCTGGTCCGGGAGCAGATGTATTGGATGCAGTTATGGAAGAACTGCAGTATGGATTTATGAGCTAGATTCCCATGTGTTGGGCCTCTATGCCCTTGAAAGGAATTGCAAGAGAACAAACATACATGCAAAGCTCATTCAGAATGTGTGAGAGCATTTGGTTTTTTCCCTTCTCCAAAAGTAGCAATTATGGACAATGAGCCAGTAGATGTGCTAGACAGATTAAAGTCAAAGCTGTTCTGACTCTCTGTGTCAGGGGCTTGGAATGGACTCTGTGTAAAAAGTAGATTGTGATCCTGTAATTAAAACTGGTGTTACAATGCCTCTATACAAGGTATCCAATTAAGTCTGCAGGGGCAATGTTAATAGTAGCATTTCCTAGTCATGTACTGACTTTGAAACTGTCCTTGGGGGTGCAGTACACATGCTTATACATTATGACTATCTCTACTTCATCACTTCTACATCAGCCTATTATATGATTTGGGATTGTAACATGTACTTCATAAAACTATCTACTCTTCATGGAAGTACAGCAAATTCTGTTAAAAATGTATGCCTTCCTCAGCTCTCCATTAACTACAATAGCAGAGGGCTAGATTTCACAGACTAATGGGAAATTTTGCCAAGGCACTACAGACACATTTGGAACCATGGTGCAGACAGACTGAAGAACAGAGAACTGATGCCAAAGAGGCTTACTGCTTTCTTATGCCTTACACAGCACTTCCCAGTTTGCATGATTCACACAAGCTCAATAACAGCATCCAGATTTTATGTTCATTTAGACTGCTTTATACCCAAGACAATTAGCCTTCTCAATGTATAGTGCAGAGACTCTGGTCTTCCCCATCCTCTCCCAACCCTGGGGCTGCTGTCACCAGATCTGGCAGGGCCAGCACTGAGTCTGAGCAAATACACTTGGCTGTAACCATAACCCCTGGCTGATAGTGTGGTGTAGAGATACAGGAACCGGGCAGACGTGGCTTTCCTGCTAGAATTAAGCTGCTTCAGGTATAGCCATTAGGTGGATCATCTCTCATCATGAATAATCCCCTGCGCTGATATCTGAGAACCGATTACATGTGTTAATTGTTCTCCCACCTTTCTCAACATCTGAATGTCAAGGCTGGTGCTAAAAAGCATGAAGCAGCCTGATCTTCAGGACTAAAACCTCCATTCTTTTGGCATCATGTGAAAGGGGAAGTTGTAACATATATGGGGGAGTATCTCCCAGTTTAAGCCTGCCATAATGCTTGAAATGCCTGAAAATGCTTGAGAGAGAGGTCTGGTCATGCAAAAATACTTCCTACCTCTCTTTTTATAACCTAAGATGAATGAGCTTGTTGAAGTGCAAGAGGCTGCCTGGAGAAACCACAGGCACACCCAAAGATAGCTAACACTACTGGCTTCTGAGATGGCAGCCACAACCTTACTCCACTGAGGTCTTTTGTTCAGAAGGGCTCAACCTGTGGTGTCTCCTTCAAGGAAGTAGTGTTTAGGAGGCATTAAGCTATGAAGCAGTTGTGAAACAGCCTATTCCCTATCTATTGGTTGCTTCTCAGAAACCATTTCTTTGGCCTATACTGACTGAGGCCCAGCCAGCTGGCTCTCCTCCAGACACCAGGCTGCAGAGAACGTTAGTAAATAGTCAACCACACCTGAACTGCTTAGAAGTTTGATGGGATCCTGTTCAGTCAGAAGCTTTATTTGCTCCCGCCTGCTTTGTCCCACGCAATGTGGTGTGGCAAAGCAACAAGCCAGGATGTTTCCTACCTATCCTGTCTCACCTCATTCCCTCTTCCCCTCAATTTCAGCCACTACACTTTTCCTTTTCCTGCTTTCCCCATGGCACGGTTCCAAACAGGCAGCCTCTTGCCTTTATGCCCCACGCCTCATCACTGAACTCCAGCACAGAGGAGATGCAGGGCCTGGCAGGAACAGGGGGAAAACTGACTGATGTTACAGAGAAAAAAGACAGATTGATGAATCTGACGTCATCCTTAAGGGTCTTTTTGTAGCTTTTCCTTCTCACCAATGGTCCTGCTCTTCCTTGGGTGTCTTGATACCATTCAGCTTTTGTGCAAATAACATAAAAACCAAAGGAAGTTATTCACACAAGGCAAAGGTGGGCTCCTTTGGGTGGTAGGACAGACACAAACTACTATGTTTCTAGGCAGCAACAAATTACATGGGTAAATTCTACTCAGTCTTAATTTTCAATATGAAAAAACAAATCCCTACTTGGCAAATGAGGTTAAAAATCTTTTAAAAAACAATCAGGTTAAACAGAGGCAAAGATATTTCTCAGGATAATCTCCACTTCTCAGAAGATGAGTATGAGCACATGATCTCAAAGCGCTGTGCTGTTTGGCAGAACCTTGGACTGATGCCAAAATGTGACATCTCTGCCCTTTTCCTGAGTCAAGAGATAACATTCTAATCTACAGCAGTATTTTATTTCAATGCTAAGTGCTCAATGGACCAAAAAAAGAAAAGAATGGAAATTCATTACCATAAGGGCAAAAAAGATTATTATAGTCCTTTGATGTGAACTTGCTACTGATGAACATAGATCACCTGTGTCCTCAGAACTATCGCTGTGCCACAGCTTGTATCAAGGACTCAAAATTAAATCCAGTCTTTCCCAAAGTTGACAGCCTTTATCTTTACCTTATCCACCCCTTGCTACTAGCCTTTGTGCAATTTTTTTACTAAAACCAAAGTAATAGTATCTCCAAAAGAGTGGGTTTTGCTGAATTTTTCATGCCTTTTCAAAGAGCTATATCTTATTGCTTAACAATTTCAGATTTTCCCATTCAGCACAGGTAAAAGTAATTATCCTTTTCTTCTTCCAACTCAGTCTGTATGGACCAGTTTGCCATCACATACCTGGAGTACAGGATCCTGTTTTAGCCCAGCTTGCTTCTTCTGCTCAGTGAGACACCACCTAGATTTCTCTAAACACAAAAAGAAGAAAACCAGCTCTGCTGACAGTTTTGCTCCTAGTGCTGCCCATCCAGTTTCCAGGTGCACTTCAACTCTTCTGCAGACTTTGGGATTGGGAAGTGAGGAGGAGAGACTTAGCATAAGAGTCATCCTGAACGGAAGGGGTGGAGACAGATCATGCAGAGAGGCAGGGTGCAACAGGCTTCACATCAGTTGCCTTTACTCTATCTTTTATTTATTTATTTTTTAAGGAGTTTAGACAGAAAGATGAACTCAAACACTGCACTGCACTATTATGTGTGTGGTGCAGCCTTTTCAGACACTGCAGACACTTTAGACCTCAACATTTATAACTGAGGCACTCGGCACCACTGATACATTTGCTGATGCATTTTCTTGAAGAATATTCATGTAATTTTATTGTCAATAATAAATGCCCTTAATGGGATTTGAGGTGAATTAAGATGAATCTGTTCCGGCAAACTTGCATCATAAAAAACTTAAGTCTCCCTAGCACACAGATTAAACATATTACAACCACACCCACAAGTATTCCCAACAAGTTGAAAAGTGTTCCAAGTTATTTTTGATTAGACTTGCTTTCAACAAGCGAAAAAGATTTGAGTCTGTAGTGGCTCGTTGAAATTTTCCATTCCTATTTCCATAATGGCACTGTATGCAAAGAACATCAGCTTAGCCCTCAGGCTGAAGTATACTATAGCTTTCATTTTCTCTGTGTGTGTACACGGTTTGAGTGTGTGTGCATGTTGGGGGTTGGGAATGAGAGAGACAAAAGAACTCAAAGAAAATGACAATATAATTTCAAGTCAAAGATCAATAAGGAAATTTTGATTCTTACTGTATACGTCAAACAAGTCCCACACTCATCTGGTAGACGTGACTCAGCAGTACTCTATGTGGTAGTGACCACTGTAATCTATGATAATCTGCAAAAGAGGTGAAGGATGGATTCAGTTCACCAAACTTCAGGCATTTACACTGATGATGTCTACATGTCAGCAAGGTGTCTACACTCCCGCAGTCATCATCAAGATTTAGGGTATGATTCACACTCTATGAGTGCCTTCTTTCAAATGAAATAGATAGTCTCCTGGACGCCACCAGCTGTGCTGATCATGGAGTTTAGTGGCAGTAGACCCACCTAGAGCAGGTGTAGATTCCTGTGCTGAGTGCATAATCACCCAGGCACAATAAGTCCCACCTCTGTGTGCTATGGAAGCTACACACAACATAAAATTTAAATTTGTCATGACCAGGAAAAGGGTGTTTGTCCTGTCATACCTGTCAGTAGCTTTGCACATCAGGATTGTACAAGAAACTATTAAAAAGATTGCTTATGTTGCAAGGGAGGGAGGGGGAAACTTCAGAGAAAAGATCAAGTTTATACTTTGATATTAATGGCATCTTGCTTGAGTTTGTCTAACCGCATCTGGCTGGGTATGCTGTACTCAGATCCACGAGACTAAACTATTGTTTTCCTACCTCATCCCCACAGAACTTGGATC